AGGAAACACACGGGCGGCACAGCCCGGCCCCGCTCGCTGTGAGACCCGCACTGGGCAGCGGCCGAGGGGCACCGCCCGCAGCCGGCCCGGGGAGGGGACAGCGACCCCCGAACCCCCTCTGCCACCCCGCCGGGCCCCACGGCGGAGGCTCCTCACCGTCCCAGGGGCAGGGCCACTGGAGCTGGGCCCGGCTTCCCCCTCCCGGGTCCGTCAGCATCCCTCAGTGCCCCGCTTCCATCAGCATCCTGCATCCCGCAGCATCCCTCTCCCGCCAGCATCCCTCTCCCGCCAGCATCCCTCTCCCGCCAGCATCCCGCTCCCGTCAGCATCCTGCATCCCGCAGCATCCCGCTTCCATCAGCATCCCGCTTCCATCAGCATCCTCCTCCCCGCAGCATCCCCCTCCCCGCAGCATCCCACTCCCACTCCCGCAGCATCCCGCATCCCGCAGCGTCCTGCTCCCATCACCATCCCGCTCCCTCTCCCATCAGCATCGCGCTCCCCGCATCCCGGGCCAGCACCGGGCACCGCCCGCCCGCACTCACCGTCCGTGGCCATGGCCGGGCCCGGCTGGGCGCGGAGCGGAGCCCGCGGGAGGCAGCGCGGAGGGTGCGCGCCGGTTCGGCCCCGCTCGGTTCATCCCCGCCCGGCGCGGGCAGCGGGGGGAGCCGGGCGCGGCCGCCGGTCCCGCGGGGCTGCGGGAGGGAGCGGCGCTGCCTCTGCCGGGGCGGCACCGGGAAACGGGGCTCTGCCACATTTCACCCCAAAATGCGGCCGGGGGGCTTGGCTGCGCCTCCCAAAATGCCGTGCCGTGGCTGTTCATGGTGCTCAGGACTGGGCTGAGCGGCTGGCAGCACGTGTGGATACAGCGGGATGGACAGTGACAACTCCAGCCCCGTGTCAGAATCACCTGCTCAGCACGGTGCACCGAGCCTGTCTCTCGGGTTTAATTGCTACCTCACCTTTCAAAACCCATTTTTTTAATAACAAAAAAGCAAGTTACTCCCCATCTCCAAAAAGCCTTAGCAGCTGAGGGTTATGTCCTCTTCTGTCCTGCCTCATTTCCCATATTTCCCAGATTTACATTGCTGTGACTAAAGAGGAAGCAGTTTGGTGTCTGTTGGCTGTAAGGTAATGTTCCTTTGATGGTTTCTCTTACAGCCAAACTGTGTCACAGCATAGAGAGTGACCCGGGGCTATGATGATGGTGAAAGGCCCAGAGGTGAAACCACACAAGAGCAGCTGAAGTCACTTGGTCTGCTCAGCTTGGAGGAGACTGAGGGGAGAGTTTATCACAGTCTACAACTTCCCCTTGAGGGCAAGAGAGGGGCAGGCACTGATTCTTCTCTGGTGCCCAGTGACAGGACCTGAGGGAATGACCTGAGGCTGTGTCAGGGGAGGTTTAGGTTGGATATCAGGAAAAGGTTTTTCCTCCAAAGGGTGCTCAGGCACTGAACAGGCTCCCCAGGGCTCTGGTCACCAAGGCTGACAGAGTTCAGCATTTGGACGAGGCTTTCAGGCACAGGGTGTGACTCCTGGGATGGCCAGGAGTTGGAGTTGGACTTCTATTTTTGTTGTAGGTCCCATCCATCTCAGGATTTTCTACAACTCTAAGTGCTAGGAGAAACACAGAGCTCAGCACATTTTTAAATTCCTTGTAGCTGATAAATTCCAGGAGTTCCATTTCCAAACGTTGGGCTGCACATGGAGGAGGGAAATATTCCATTATCTGGCTTAATCATGTGCCCAGATTTGAGGACCAAGATGAAAATGGGCTGAGGAAGCCACTTAGCAAGCTTTGTAAAATCTAAACAGGCAACTCCAGATGCAGAATGAGCTTCAGAATGAAACATTCCAGACAAGAAGGGATAAAATACCAGTGTCATTTGAAGAAACCTGCTCTGCAGGGCTCATGTGATGAGAGAATACAAACACTCTGCATAGAGTCCAGTTACATAAGATATTTAAGTATAACATCAGAATAAACCTTGAAGTATCTTTTAGTCCTTTAGGATCAGGTCTACCTTTAGAATCCTAAAAAAAAAAAAAAAAGAAAACAAAACCAACAACAAAAAGAAAACAGACTGCTTTTGATTTTAGTCTGAAAAAGAAAGGGTTTAGAATGAGTGGAACAGTCTCTCCAGCTTTGTAACTTGTCTTTATGCAGATGGTGATGAATTAATTTTTCTCTGTGCTCACTACAGTAGAGATGTGCAATTGGGAGCAACACAAATTCACTTAATAAGAGAATTTCACAGTAAACAATCTGGCCTTATAACAAACAGCAAAATTCCTTTTACTGTAGGATTCTCCAGTTATTCTGGAGGTGATACCTACATTGACACTAAGCTGTACCCACAGAGATCTCCACTGTCACCCATGGCATTTGGAATTTTTTCACATCACTCCCATATTGCTATTTCAACTTCAGTTTGAAGGCTGCAAAAACCACCAGGTTGAGCACAGCTGCTTACAGGAGCATTCCTGAGCTGGTATTTGAGCTTCATTTGTCCAGTCTTTTGCACTTACTTTGATTTAATTAGATCTTGTTGGTTGCTTTAATAAGAAGAATAAAAAATATATTGTATACTTTCACTTAAACAGTTTCCAGGTATTCAATAAAAGACTGGACATTGTACTCAGGGCCATGCTCTGATCAGTCAAAAGTTGGACTCGGTGATGCCAGAGGTTTTCTCCAAGAGAATTGATTCTGTGATTCTGTAAACTGATGTCACCTCCTGGTGTTTTAGTTGTGTTTTGTTTTTCATCACCCACATTATCCTTGCAATCACTGGCTCCAGCCTCCACTAAGAGGATCTTTCACCTTTGCCAAAGAAATTGTGATTATTTTTGGATGAACAGTTGTGCATCTACCTCAGAGAAGCTGCAGCCAAAACACATTTATTCAATTTATTTCTGAAAACTGTAACAACATCCAGATACACACTGTCAGATGGCCTCACTCCTATCCACCAGCACAGCTGGAAGTTAGGCTGGCATCACAGAGATTGAATTTCCTTGCAGACTTTAACCACTGCATAGCTGAGACTACAACCAGGAGAGAATTTAGATCTCAGAAAGTCTACTACTACTACTATTACTATTTGGATTTCCAGAATTATTGTTGAAGGGCTTTTTTAATGACAGCTGCTTGCTTCAATGAAGCATTTTAGGAAGTCCCTGTCCTGTTTTTCAAAGCCTGTAATTGCCCATCAGACTGCAGCAAGGGATTTTTTCTTTTAAAGATTACACCGCCATTGTGAATCTCTGCTTACAGCTGCCTCTAAATTCTCAGGATTACTGTTTTGAAACATCACCATGCATATAGTCAGCAGTTCTAAGTTTATTCTTGATCATGACTTCCATTTTCCATCTATGTAATTTTATAAACAAATTACAGAACATTTGTTTTCATGATTACAATATGAAAACAATTTCTTGATAGTTGAATGCACCCACCCTTGTGCCTAGCCAAGCCTTTGCATGCTTTGTACATCATTTGCAGAGGAGTGCAGAGAGGACTCATGTCACTGAGTATCAAAAATTGTGACAAATTCCACCCCTTACTCAGCTCTTGGGAGGGCTCAAAGGTATAAGGAGAGGCAAATTAGATGGTCATGTTATGAAAAAGTGCCACTGCAGGGAACAGTATTAAATATGTTCCTTAAACATGTTACTGAGCAAAGCTAGGCTGATTAAGCTTCCCTTTGAGGCCTCATCTGTTTTGGGGTTTTTTTGTACCTGCTCATCAAAAAGTAGAAGAAATGCACAGAGGCAGGGTTTGTGCAGGTAACAGAAAAGCACAGGCATTGTCCCTGTCAGAAAACCCAAATAAAACCAAAGTGTGCAAACCTTACAGAAATTATACCTCCAAAACATTCATAGCCATAGATGAGTCCTTTTAAGACCACATTTGAGCCATCCACAGCCTTAGCCCAACCTCAGGCCAAAGAGGAAGAGTGAATGATAAACCAGAAAAAAAGAGTAGAAACTAAATGTATGTATGATTACTTTAACTGTGTTGTTACTGCTATAGGGGTTTATACTCTGTGTAGAAGTATTCTTTTTCTATAATAATTAGATCTGGGCTAATAATGACTTTTGGATTAGATTGTCAAGACTTTGGTTATTTAACTGAGTACTTCACTGTTCAGTTTACAGTACAGTAAGGTTTAGCTTTATTACAAAGTGTTTCCTCTTTTCTCATTAACAAGGTTGAGTGCAACTCTGGCACTTCATCATCAGCTTTTCCAGTGTCCAACCTCATTTGGCCCATTCCTCCTTGCCAACCAACACATTTAATATGGAAACCTTTGATAGTAAAACCATTTTTATCTCCATTTAAATGTTTTTTCTTCTAGGTAAGAGGACTTCAATTGACAGTCATACTACCAAATGAATGAATTCAAATTAGGTTCTTTTTGTATTCAAAAACTTTCAAAATTCTAATTTATATTTCTTCTTGTAGAAAAGGATACTTAACTCCTTCGCCTTTCTTGAAAGAACAGCTGTGATCAACTGGAGAAATTCCAAGGAGAGTAACTCCACATTCCTCTTCAACTGTTGTGGTCAGATGGGGATATTTAAGGCTACAGCCTTCCAAGGTTGAGTGACACAAATTCTACTGGTTTTAGTGTTTACAGACATTCCAGCTGATGATTCTCAGTCCATTTGCTTCTTCTGCTGCACTGTTGCCAAGCAAATATTTCCCCATGCTGTGCTTGTTCTCGGTGCTGAGATCCATGTTTATTTCTGCACTCACTTCTTTCACTCCCCTCCAATTTATAAAGATCATTTTGAATTCCAGTCCTGCCCTTGTACAGTTTAGGGTTATCTGCAGAATTAATGAACACCCTTTACCACCTTCCATTTTAATACACAGTCACTCCAGATCTGCTGGAGACAGGGCACAACAAAAAGCTTATCAGCAAGTTCATTTCCACATGTGTGGCATCAAACCATGACAAGCAGTGAAGTTTACACACCATAAAATGGAGCAAGTCAAGCGTGAAAAATAATTTATTGCACTAATTTTCAACAGTCAATAACCCTTATGTTCAGAGATAAAGGATTATAGACATGTCTTACATGGGTAAATATTCTCTGAGCCTTCTCTTTCCAGCTCAGTCAGGACACAGCAACTTCAGTCTCCCACAAAAAGCGTTCACCAGGTGAATAAAGGCTCCACAAGACAGCTGAAGTATCCCAGTCACTACCAGCATCCCTTCCAGCATCATCTGTGCTTCTGGTCCCAGACACTTCTTTTATGTTCAAAGGTATCCACAACAAGCACTTGGTATTACCTCTGACATTTTCATTTTGTCATTAAAATTAACATTAGTGCTTCTCCAGCTGGATCCTCTAACGTCGTTTTCTCCTCTTGGGGAGAGATACTTCTGAAAGAAAATAAAGAGAAAGGGTTTTTAAAAAGCTTTTAAATCCATCTTCCCACATGGGAGTTGTTCAAGCAGAATGAATTCTATCCAGCACAGGAGATTAACTAGATAAGCTCTTAAGATCCCCTCCCAGTCCCTCTCCACATGATTTTCAAATATGAAAAAAAATCTTTCTGGATTCTAGAGCACACTGTCATTCAAAGTATCAACTGAAATTCCATTGATGAATATTGTACTTCAAAACTTATTTCATCTTAAAAGCTTTCTGCTCCTCACCAACACCTTTCAGATTTTGCTGTGAATTTGACAAATGGAAAACTCACAAAATATCTGAAGAGAATGCTTATGAGTATTTTTTATGCTTCAGAATTTACTGGAAAATTCTGAGAAATGGGAGAATATTCCTAATTTAGAAAGAAACTTTTTATCCACCACAAGTGGACAACTGAAGGAAAGTAAAGAAAGAACAATATTAAATGCTCCATGGTACCTTCAATCTGACCATTTAAAACTGAATGAATTCCCACTGTCTACAAATAAAAGTGACCAGAGAATGTAATCTCATTTCAGTACTGTGGGATGTTCCTTTGCTTCTAAAAACAGCAAATATAAATATACAATGTCACTAAAAATGTATTTTAATATATTTAAATGTATTAGATTATATTAAATATCCCTTGTACTACATATCCTTCCATTACATAGAATTTTGGATAGTAATTTACTACAGAAGGTTTTTTATACTGTGCCATGTTCTCAAGCAGCTGAGAGCAGACCCTGAAGCCTCTGAGTTGCAGAGCAGCTCAGTATCATCCAACACTGATGCTTCTGCAGAGCAACTCCACTGTCAGCTTTGAGCATTCTGCTTTACTATTGCTTCCCAATTCAAATCACATTATTTCCAGTAACCTGAGTGACAGCAAAGCCATTCACTCCCCTGCTGCAGTTCCCAGAGTCCTCCCCTGACAATGTCAGATAACTTCCAGCATAGCAGAGGATGTGCTGGAGCTTAATCCATGAAACACTGCCCAGCTCAAAGTAAGGCTAGAGAGGAACCTTTTCTCCCCTCAGCAAAGGTGAGGGCAGCAAGGGCTCTTCTCTCCAAAGTTCACAGAGTTATCAGAACACTTCTGTAAGTGGGTGACTGACCAAAAAAATCACTTTTCCCTACACCATGGAACTCCTCAAGACAAACTTGTATTACAGAAGAATGAGACTCCTTTAAACTGGACCAGTTTTAACTTTCAACACATTATGATGAAATCTATGCAGAAAAAATTTACTCTGGGGACTTTGCGGTGGCACTTCAAGGTTTCAATTTTCATGCAACAATTTGCAGGCTAAAACCAAACCTGGCTTTTGCAAGGCAGCAAGACATGATCCAAATATTAAAGGGATATTAAAAAACAAGTTACTAGTTTGCTGGAATTGCAATCATTGTACCTCCTTCCTCTGAGTCCTCTTCTATGATTACTGGCATCCCGATATGCCGAGTTACAGTTTCCTCTGCCACTTGCATTTCACCTGCACACAGATTTTAAGGAAAAACTGTCAGCTTTTTTTTGCTTCTGCATCCCTCATCCAGCAGTTAAAACATTGTTCACTGCTGCTCTCCTAAGATGCTGTCAAATGCTGCAGACAAACCTACTTTTCACAGTACCTTCCATATGGCTCACTAAGAAACCTTCAATAACAAGTAATTAACACTATCAATTTAAAGCAAATTAATCACCAACTCAGTTCAATAACTCACAATGCCCTTACTGGTCCAAAACACTTCATCTACTCTTTTAAAGTCAAGCAAAGGCAACACTGCCTAATGCTCATCTCTGAAGAGGGATTCATTTCCTCACTAACTTTTTTTCCCTAGCAGAGGCTAAGCAAGTCTGAAAACTGAGTTTGGAACTTTGAAATTAAATTCCCATCTTCAAAATAAAAACAATTCAAAAAGTAAGGGCAACTCAAAGAGTCAGGAAAACTCAAAGAGTCGGGAAAACTCAAAACCATTTTGCTGTTTAGTTTCATTTAACCTGTAACAAATAAGGAGTGAAGAAAAGATTTAGACAGCAGAGCAACTTCTATCAGCTGAAGAGTTGGATATCAGAAAGAGAATTTCCTCAGGAAAAGTAATTTCTCAGTGATAACAGCAAAATTTAACCCAGCTAGCAAAGCAAGGAATAAATTTTGCAAGCTCCCCAGGTTCATGGATTCAATAGAGAAGTACCTCTAACTTCTGAAGAACTTCTCCTTGCTGGCTGTGGTGTCCTGCTGGCTTTTTTACTTCGACCTGGAGACTTCCCACAACTGGGCCCTGATTCAGAGGATTCCAACTGCACTTGCCGATGTCTCCTGGATCTGGAAACCTGAATGACACAAAGAAAGCTGAACTTGAACAGCCAGATCTTGCTGTGGGTCACTGGACAAACCAGCAGGGACCAAAGCATCAACTTGATGTCAGGGTGGAAAAGGGATAGAAGGGGAAAGAGGGAGGGAGGACCCTCACTAGTTGCTGTTCTTCAGTTTTAACAGGATTAACCCCTTCTATGATTTAATGGGTGCATAAATTAAAATGCAAATAATGAAACATTCATTCATTCCCAATCCATTCTCTGTTACTACCAAGCCATGCCATGCTGCATCCCCCTACACAAAAGAAACACTTCCAAAATCTGCTGCTCTGTAAAGCCTCCTGACCATCATACTTTGCTTAAGTGCCTAGAAAACATCACTGCACATTCACAAGTCTGGACTGTTTGAAAATCCAGAGCTGTGTTTCATTCAATGACACATTTTTCAATATGAGATTTTAATAAATAGAGAAAGGTGAGAAGTTTCTCATAGGACTGCTAAGAAAAAGACAAACCAACAATACTCTTTTAAGGGAGAAGCTACTGAAATGATGCTTTCAAGAACTTGCAATTGACTTTAAACTCCCAAGTCCCATTTTCACAGGCATGTTCCAAGATTCCAATATCTAAGATATAAAGAATCTGACCAATTAAACTCTCATGTATTTTCATTCTTAAAATTCCAAACAGAGAGTAGATATTAAAAGATACCCTGTAAAGGAAAATCCCCCAAGCACAGGCCTTATCTGCACTGTTCCATAAATCTAACAAGAATAAGAGCTTTGGGTTTCCCTGTTGTGTTAGGAAAACTAAATAATTCAAAAACTGAATTACAGAGTGCAGTTTTAACTCATTCCTTTTTGACCCAACATTTACATTAAACTGGTATTTAAAACTGTTCTTGAAAAATAAAGACATTTCCCATTATCAATTTTTATACTTACCTCAACAACTGCAGAATAAGACTTGTATTTGATTCTTGCCAGGGCATTTGCTCTTTCAGAACCCTGTAAAGAAACAAGAGTCCAGTCAGAAAATATTCTTATTCTATTCTAGCAGTACTGAAATATTGCATCAGGCAACCACTTGAGCAATAGCTCACTACAGCTGTAACTCTATCATTAGTTCTACAGAATTTCCATGCCACCAAAATGGTACTTCAAGGAAAAAAAAATCATTAAAAAGACAGAGCATAATTTTGGTTGCTTTCACTGTAACAAAGCTCAGGAGGAGAAAACTCAAATTTGAAACTTAACATCTTACCCAAATTCAAAGCAGGTAAGTACAACATAAGACAATTTTGTAGCATAAAAAAATGAATATTGCCTTAAGCTGAAACTCCAGGAGGAAGTGTAAAGGAGTTTGGCCAAGAAAACACAGCTCTTTTCCCTCCTCACCTGAGAGAGACTTTTCATGGTGATCATCTAAGCAGTCACAGCAGTGAATGCTCACAGTTCAACAGAAAACAATGAGAGTTAAAAACAAAACCAAGCAACCAGCACCACCAGCTGTCCTTGGACTTTATTCTGACACTATCAAACTTTGATGTGCACTGCTTAGCATGAGATATGAAGTCAAAAAATGAACAGATCTGGCCTGTGCAACGCAGCAAAGTTTCTTTACCTCTGATTTTAGCAAAGTCTCCTCTTTCTTTTTGTCTTCTGCTTCAGGAACTACTTTAGCATTTCGGAGTAATTTCTGTGGGGAAGAAGAGTGTTTTTCTTTAAACATCTGTGATAAACAAGACAGCTAAAATCCAAGAAGTGTAAAAAACAAAACAAGTATTTACACATGTGCCCATTTTCTACATCTCCCTTACACTGTGGCCTTTCTTTGATCCAGGAATGTGTTACAGAGGTATTTAATGAGGTCAGACCTTCAGGGCTTCCCTCTCAGCAGTCACTTGTGGTATCCCAGAGGCAAGACCAGCCACAAGTCCTTTCTTCCATATCACATCCCTGCCTCAGGTTTCACACACTGAAAGCCTTCAGTGTCACAGTTCCTTCTCCTTCAGTCAGAGATGTAATCACACCAAGAAATCCAGCTCTTCCATGCTCACCCAACCTGCTAAGGCCCCACAGCACAGTGGTTGGTAGTACCTACCATTCTGTTCTGCTGCCATTCCTGATGTTCCAAGGTTATGTCTTTGAGATTAACCACAAAGTCATCTTTTATCAAGCTCAGGGCCTTGTCTGGCTGGGATTTGTCAGCTGAAATGACACACTTCATTTTCTGGTAGTGGTCGTGAATATTCATCAGTTCCTGAAATTAATTTTTTAAAAAAGTGTCTTTCAGGAAAAAATAAAAAAGATTCCAGCAGTAAAGCAATATTGGTCCTCAATGTACAAACCCAGGGTTATAGAAACCATTTTAAGGAGACCATTGGACCAGGAGGAATGTTAGAAACTGATTGTGGTTAGATTATTTGAGTTTTAGAGCCAAGGAATCCTGCTAACCAGAACTGACACACTAAATAAGCTAAAGAAGAAAGAGTATGTTATATTATGTTAACTAAGAAGGTGACTCAGGACCACTGTGATTCTGATACTGTGGTGCATTTTCATCTCTTTGGAGGAAATATTTTACTTCACGGATTTCTGTACCACTGCAGTCAACCTTACTGATACACATTTGAATGAAAAAGCTGTAAAGAAAGTTCTACCACTGAGTGATATAAGAACCTTTACCTGCTTTATATAAGAACTTTCACCTCATTGCTCAGGTTTTTATCAAATGCATCATATAATAAAAATCAAAAACATTTTCATATAATAAAAACCCCAATGTTTGAAAGGAGAAATAAAGGTGGGAGAAGAAGTATTGCAGATAAGTAAATTCATATTATCACAAGTATCAATCTCCAGCTGCAACCTGCAGATATATCAAAACAAACATGCTTCCCCCCTTTTCCATTTTTCTCTAAGTGACAATTAACCATTTACACCCTTTTACATCCTACTGAGGCAAAACCACAGAACATTAAAGCCTATTTCAGTATTGAAAAAGGTACCACAATTCTTCCAAACTAAATGCCACAGTTCTGAGTGTCTGGTAAAATTACCTGAGTCTGCATTCCACAAAAGGACAAGACTGCTGATTAGAGAAGTTACAGCTCTTGGACAGCAGAGAAATTAAAACAAAGCAAACCCCATTGATTAATCTGTATTTTAAAGGTTACTGTACCTCCAATACATCATTAGTGATGAGGCTGTTTACTCTATTGCTTGGGTCCTTAAATTCTTCTTTAAAATAATTTTTCTCAATCTTCTTCTTAGTTCTGTAGGTCAGCTAAAACAAGAGGAAATGTTCGTAACATAAAAGAAAATTTTAAAAGGCACCTCCTCTTAAGAATTCCTACTGCATATCCATCAATGAGGAGATGGAAGATACTGAAAGGCATAAAACCACATAAAACAACAGCTTTGCTATCACATGCTCAGAGGCAGCACTTTTCACAAATTATTGTCTAGTTAAGAATTTAATCCAGCATTGAATAATTGATTAATTTCCCCAACTGGTAAGACATCTCAAATCCATTAGGAACATCAGAGACTGAAAAACTAAACTATTTTCAGGTGAGAAGCATTCAAACGCCCTCTAAGCTCTTCATCACCTACCTCTGTAAAGCCACAAATATTGCATTTTAACTGGCCTCAAGGCTGAGCTGACCATGAGTGCTGTTGAACTGTCAGGCACTGAAAGATGAGGGTATTTTGTTTAAAAATGTAAGTCATCAATGTAGTAACTCACTAGCTTTGGCATTGCTGTGAAATGGAAGGCTCTGGCAAGTCGCAGTCTCCTGAAGATATAGACTGCATCATAGTGCTGGGCATCAAGCAGATCCAGCTGGAATTTCTGGATTTCAGGCCAATGCTTGAGTGCAATTCTGATCTGCAACACAAGAGTTACATAGTGTTAAACCAAGATTTCAACCATAAAATTAACTGAGCTGACTACTGTGGATCTACAGTCTACTGTGATCTGAGTGCAGACAACACCTGCATGTCCAGAGCTGCAGAAAGGATCCCACTGTAACATCTCTTACTGCTATCATAATTTTATGCTCCTAAGATCATTATTATGTCACTTTCTTTGACAGTGACATGGAACACAAGTCCTTTCTGACATTTGAAAACATTCATTCTTCACATTCTGAAGTGTGTTTAAAACAGTCTGCACCTGGGACATTCCCCTTCACTAGTGATTAGGAAACAATACTCATACCAGGTTGTGCTGCCACTGAAATGCTCATCAATGTTCTCTTTCCCTTATTTCTTCCTTTCTCCACTCTGCCCACTTCACTTGCTCTCTGCTTAACTTTCTGGATAAGTCCTGTCCCCTCTTACAGCTGTATCCAGCAGTGGCTTTAAAATTGCCTAAATTCATCTTCATAAAAAGTTACTGATTCCTCTGAGGTCAAAATATGAGCCATCCTGGCATCACTGCAGACTACTCCAAATTCAGTTATTTGAAGAATTTGGACTCAATTTTGCACTTGCACCCAACATATATCACAAAGTTCCTAAGCAAGCCACTTCTCCTTGCACTGAGTTTGTAATTCCTTCAGATATTGCTCTCCTACCCTAAAAGCAGCAAGGAGGGTGTCTGTCATTCACCCTCTCAACCTATTTATGAATTCCTTTTCTAGTTAACAGGAAGTGGAAATAATCCAGTCTCCATTCTGTTGGAATTCTGAAGAGTAACTCAGGCTGTAATGGGGTTCACCCTGCAGCTGATGAACACATTCTCTGTCCCTGCATTTTCCAGTAGCTTCCAATCTGGCTTTAAGTATTTTTATTTTGAGAAAGCGAGAGGAAACGCCCTAACCATTTATGATGACAAAGCAGAGAGCAGTGTACCACATATCTTATGCTTAGTATCTCCTCAGAATAAAACCTCAGGAACAATTACCTTTTGTTTTGGCTGACAAAGCTGGGCATTATAGAGCCCATACAGAAGGTACAGAGCACCAACTCGGATCTGGAAGGAGTAGGGGGGAAAGAAGTACTGCTGGGCCACATCTAGAGTCTTCTTTGTGATCTTATTCCTCTCCAAAGCTCTCATTCTACCACTAAAGCAAATAAACAAAAAAAAAAAAAAAAAAAACAACAACCAAACAAACAAAAAAAAAAAAAAGCAGCATGTTAAAACAGGTAAATATAAAACTGCAGGCTTTAGGAAAATTCATAAAATTCATAATGTAGAAACAAGCTTTAGATGTTTTAAAAACAGAGAATCACTGAATGTCCTCAGCTATAAGGGACCCACAAGGATCACTGAGTCCAGCTACTGGCCCTGCAGACGACCCCAAGAATCACAACTGGCAGAGTTCAAGAAGAGTCTGGACAAGATTCTCAGCACAGGCTACGACCCTTGGGGTGACCTGTGCAGGGCACGGATCCATGATCCGTGTGGGCTCCTTCCAACTCAGGATATTCTATGGTTCAGTCAAACATGCACGCCCAGCGATCACACTTTTAAATCTCCCGAGGATTGCACCAAGCTCCCCGTGGAGCCAGCGCTCAAACCACACACATTCCTAATGCACGAAATACCCTGAATTTAAAACTCTCTTCCATCATTACAGAGTGACCGATGCTCCACTTTCTTTAGAGGCCAGCCAGGCAACCCTCTCCCCGAGCCAGGCCTGAGGGGGCACACGGCTCACCCACACCTCCTTAAAGACTGGACTACCCCGGGGGGAAACAGCACCGGGGGCTGCGGGGCTGGTGAGGGGCAGGATGGGGAGAAGGCGAGGGGCAGGCGCGGCTCGGCCTGAGGGGCGGCCGGGAGCCATCTCCGCCATCCCCTCCCTCCCTCCCTCCCTCACTCACTAGAAGATGGTGTGGAAGCGGCGCTCCCTCCACAGCTCGGCGAAGCGCTCGAAGCGGACGGTGTCTGCCTGCTGGAAGGCTCCGAGCAGCTCCTCACAGTCCTCCTTCAGTCCCGGCACGGCGCTCATCGCGCCAGCTCCGCGCTCACCTCGCGGCCGCTCCGCGCATGCGCTCCCTCACCACAGCAGCGGCGCGGCGCCTGCGCACGGCCCGTGTCGGGCGGGCCCGGGAGGAGCTGACCGGGCTGTCCGTGAGGGAGTGGGGTTGTCCCATCCCCGGTACCGGGAGGAGCCGCCCGGGCTGCCTGTGAGGGAGCAGAGCTGTCCCGACCCGCTGCGCTCCCGCCGCGGTACGGCCCCGGTGCCGGGAGGAGCTGCCCATGCTGCCCATGAGGGAGCGGAGCTGTCCCAACCCGCTGCGCTCCCGGCGCGGTGCGGCCCCGGTGCCGCTGTGTGTGGCGAGACCCCGTCAGTGACGGGCGCTCGCTCTGCCCGCCCTGGGCGCTGTCCCGCTCTCCCTCGCTGTGGAAGGCGAGCCCGGTCCACGGGCAAAATGCCTCTCCGAGCAGCGCATCCCTGGGTGATCCCGGGGCGCAGCCCGCGGGGATGAGCGGCTTCGGGCGGGATGAGCAGCGGCGGGGCCGGCGCCGCTCTACCACAGCCCAGAGATCCCGGGGACGCTCTCGAGGCGCGGGGCTTCACATCCCCGCCCCAATCCCCACAGGCGCCCCCGGCAGCGCGCTCAGGGGCCGTGACCCGGAGGGCTCGGGAGCAGCGGTTCCCCCGCGGGAAGGGCGCCCGCGCCGCGCGGCCGTGGGGACGTGACACACCGCCACGCTCCGGTGAAGGGCCGCTGCCGGCCCCCTGCGCCGGTCCCCGCTGCTCCCCTGGCTGTCCGAAAACCCCGACGGCTGCGGGAGCCCCGTTGCCGTCTGGGCGAGCGGGCACGCAGGGATAAGCCGGCTGTCGCCCCCCCCCGAGCGGCGGGATGCCCTGCCCTTCCCTGCCCTGCCGTGTCACATCGTGCCGTGCCGTGCCGCCCGCTCCCCGCATGCACGGCCACACGTAGGCGGCCGGGGCAGCGGGGCGGGCGGGGAGGGGGCCGCGGCTGCCGAGCCGCACGTAGGGTGGGTGGGTGCGGCCTCGCCGGCGGCGCGGAGCGGGCGGCGGGGGCTCCCCTGCCGCACGTACAGAGAGGGGCCAGCGGCCACCGAGGCGGCTGCCGGGACCAGCGCCGGCGTCGGAGAACCCGCACAGCGGTGAGTACGGACCCGCGGCACCGGGCACCGCTCGGGGCAGGGCGGGCAGTGTCCTGGGGAAGCCGCTTCTGATGCCCGGGAGGCTCCGCAGCCCCTCGGGCGGGTCCCCAGAGGGTTTGAGGACGGGGCTCAGGTTTCAAGGCGGTGTTGCGGTGATCGCCGCTGCGGTCGGGGCTTGGCTGCGGATTGTGGGAGCGCGGCTGGACAGCGGCACCTGCGCCGGGAGCGCTCCGGGGCCGGGCGGGAGAGCGGCCGGGTGCCTGTGCTCCCACGGGATGCGGGGCTCGGCAGGTGCGGGATCCCCCCTGCGCAGGGGAAGCCACGCTACCCCTACAGCGTGTAGGGCAAGTATGGGTTTGGGATGGAGCCTTGTGTGGTGTCTTTGGGATGTTTAAATCTGCAGGAGTTTTCCCAGCGACCGGGTAAAGAATTCATATTTTGCTTTCTCAAATAATCATGCACTGCGAAATGAGTGTTGAATTCTGCTGGCTACGGTACCGTGATGTTCTCCAGTTCACCAATAGCATCAACTAATTGATCCAAAGGTCTCTCCTTACAGCCAGGTGCATCAAGCTGTCAATGTCAGGAGCTCCCACAGTGCTCCAGGCATGCAAGCATCTTTCTATATTTATTGTATTTCCCAAAAGGTTCTCTCCCAACCTTTAGGAGCCTTCATTAGGAGGTGATTTACCATCGGCTGAACAGCAGTTGCCTTTGAGCACCACTGGTTGCCAATGTCATTGACTATAGGAACAGAGATGTTTGCAGAGCTGTTGCATATGAACTGTACAGGGTTTAGCAGGAGAGCTGCACCTGCCAGGGTTTGGTTTGCATTTTTTCTCTTTTTTTGAAAAGACACTTTCATCTATCATTTAGATTAATTTTTAGAGATGTAGAGCAGTGACCCTGCTCATCCAGTACGTGACCCTGACTTCAACAGATTGTACTGATTTTGGAACAGAATGCCAACCCTGTTAGGAAAACAGATATAATGTACTATCCCCCTGCAATGGATTTAAGGATTCAAAGCACAAGTAAGTCAAGAGTGACACATCATGGAGCAAGTTCACCGTTACATACAGCTCAAACCAAGCCCTGTTTAGTTACAGGAGTCATCCCTTAATTTAATAGGAGCAGAGGAGCCTGGCTCTGGAGTGATTTGTGAAGCTCAGAGTGTGTTTTCTGATTTTTGTTTTTTAAACATGCAGTGAGTGGGGTGATTTCTCAGGGATGATGTTTCAAGGAACACTATATGGATTTTTTTTCCCCTAAGGCAGATGGGGCTGCATGATGCAAGATGTAGTGAGGATGAGGCTGTTGTGCCCATGTGAATGTGCTCTAAGTCTTCCCTTGCAGGAAGTTTGGGTACAATGTAAAGAATGAAAATGCAGAAGAATAAAACCAAGTAACAGGGTCTCTTCATACAATTTCTCTGGTGTGGTATATAAAATTAAAAACAGTATCAATTTTTAGACTAATTAATACTCTTCTTCATCACCTGTGTTTTCAATGCTCCTTCAAATTATTCATTAATATATTTTAGAACAATTAAGGCCTTCAAACTAAAAAAAAGTAATAAATAATTAGATGATGTAAGGAAGAGTGTGCTGGTTACTGCATCTTCTTCATATTCAACTGCTAAACAAAAGGATAAAATCCTATTTGCTCTATCAATTCCTAGTTTATAAGTTGCAATTTAAAAGCCATCCTGCACTGATATAAATAATGGGGTTTTCCAGATGCATGTGGCACAAAACAATTTTTTTACTACTTGATATGGTTGCATTAGAACACATGTTCAGGTTGAAAATATGAAAATAAATCATGAATATGTTTTATTAAATAGATTATTCCACCTTCAGTATCTACAAACCTATTGCTAGTAACAGGATCATGCTCTACTGGTGCATGCCTCCTGCTTTCAGACTTCCCAGCAAGCACAGATTTTGCAAAAGCTTTTTAATCTGTGCAGAAGTAAGTGGCATTGATTTAAGGGGACAGCAGGAGTCACAGGTTCTTGAGCTATTTGTGTGTACTGACAGCAACTGAAATCACCTGGGGACATGGCCATGGATTCAGACGAGTTTGTGTTTTGTTACTAAGGGCATTCCTGGTGCAATTAATCAAAGAGGCTCCATAAATGTCCTCTGTCCCTCTGGCTCTGTAGCTGTTGCTCTCTCTTTGGCTTCCTCCAGGAAAAGCTACTCCATCCCCGTATTTGACTTGTTAAATTGAATGTTTGACCTCTTTTGTTCACACTCTGCTTAACTCAGGTGGGATAACCACATGTGAATAGGATTCAGCTTATATATAAATATTATCTATTTATATTATATTTAGTAGAAAGTGTATGTTTTTGGGGACTGTGACATTTCTGCTTGATGCCCTAGTTTCTGACAGCGGGCAGTAAAGTCTTAAACCTGCAAGGAGTTTGTTACTCTGCACAGTGGTTTAGTTCACTTTAAAGTCACCTCTGCCTATTACAAAGGGGAAAAGGGATGGACAGAAAGATCACAGATGTCACAAATTAGAAACAAACCCTCTCTTTTATTGAATTTTATACTGATACACAATCAAAAAGAAATACAGTCACAAGTACGTCAAAATGTTTCAAGAGAAATATCAATTGCAATACGTTGTACTTGGTTCCAAAAAAGAATTCCATTAAAATATACCACTTCTTCATGAGAGAATACTGCTATTATTCACAAAATCTACTGTACTGTATAAATCCAGCAGCAAACTCTTGAACTTTTTGGTAACTTGCTCAAGGTAAACAGGGAAGCAGAAGGAAAATGATAATTCAATTCTAGAATTTGGATCAAAAATCACAGTCCTCCAGAATGGAGCTTTTCAGGGAGTTAAGTCATAATGGTATTTTTAATGAAGGCTGGATACCCAACTCATGTGGAATTCCTATGAAAATGGACTTCCTACAAAGTCCTGGTGGCCTGTGAGTGTTTCTTTTCATGCTGGACAGTTACAGTTTGAGCAACGTGCCTTAGTGCAGTGAGATTGGAGTGAGATGTGTGCTCAGGTCAGGAGCAGGGCAGCAGGGGGAAGGGGACAGATGGCTGACCTGGGGCCTGGCCAGCCTGGCTGACAGGGGCAGGATGCTCCCAGATCCCACCACACTGCCAGGAAAGGTTCACTCAGCAGTGAACAGGGGAGAACACTTGCCAACAGACACTGCCTTTAGCTGCCAGTGCTTAGCTGTTTCATTAAACAGCTCTTTAAGTAATGAAACATTACTATTAAATATGCAGTAGTTTAACCTGTAATCATCAGAATTACCTGACCCAACAGTTGTATTTCATTGGAAGCAGAGCTGATCATTCCATCCAAACTAAGCTTTGAAGTCCTTAAAACCCTCATCAGTGTTAAGTGGAAATGGTTCTTTTGTGCCCTAATCTGTGATTCTTTAATTCAGTAATGACTTTGGGAGAGTTGAATGTGTGAACACAGATACTATTAAGTGTTGCTTCTCAGGTAAGTTGTTTCCATTTCACCCAAAGGTTTTTAAAGGTCACTAAAGTCCAAGCCAGTCTCACTAAGTGGGAGGAAGGTATGTTAGCAAGAGGTACTTTGGACTTGAGGCTACCTTCATTTACTCATATCTTACACCCAAGATAAGTTACTGCACACCCTATTTAAGTGATTTCTGTGGAGTTACAGCTGTAGTTTATTTTAACTACTTTCAGGTAAAGGAAGGAATTATGTCATCATAAATACTACTTTAAAAATTCCTTTACCTTTTAACAAACCATCACTGTTGATGATTAAAACATCAATAAAATCTGTATGTAAGAACAGTAATTGTACTATGCCCTGAAGAAAGCCTGGCTTGACTACTACTCTAGTCAGGAAAACTTGGAAAGTAGAAAGTA